ATTAAAACCACGGCGGGTGAAAAAAAAGAAAAACAAATGTTTTTGAAAAGAACGGGGGAGGGGGGGGGGGGGGGGGGTTGATGAAGACAACAACAAATGTAAGAAAGAAAAGTACCAAGACAAGAGTCATGTCAAGGGACAGTCCCCTGCTTTCTTCCCTCTCTCCCTCTCCCTCTGTCTCTTTCTCTCTCTTTTTTTCACACACATACGCACACGCACACACACACACGCACACACACACGCACACAACCAAGGTGAGGCGGTGACTGGCGTTCAAAAGTCTGAAGATGTTTGCCGAAGCTGCACAGAGCGACAGACCTTGCTCGACAAAGGACGGCCAAAAAAACAAAGAAAGGGTGAAAGAGTAGGTGGTGCAAAAGGTGTGTGTGTCTCTGTGTGTGTGTGTGTGTGTGTGTGTGATACAAGAAAGACAAAAAAAAAAGTAGAGTGTTGTAAGACAAAGAGAGAGGAAGAGTGACTCTGTGAAAGTGGGCCAAACATCTGAGACGAGTGGAGGAGTGATGATAATGAAAGGTAGGGATGAAGCTGATCCACCGTCTGTGTGTGTGTGTGTGTGTGTGCATGTACAGTGTGTGTGTATGTGTTTATGTAGCATTTGATCAATGATGTTTTATCACTAGGATCAATTGTCAGGTTTTGCTCATTGTGTCTACGCGGTATTAGATTCTGACTCCGATTAGCCATCGCTGTCGAAAAGAGATTCTTACGACTGCGACTTTGAGCTTCAGCACGTTTGAAATATCTACTGTTATTTATATATTCTTGTTACAATATATGTATGTACATATATATAACGTTCTATGTATATGTATATATGTATATATATATAGTAGTGTCTATCATTCTACAAATATATATATATGTATATACATAGCTACATATATAAAAATACAAATGAAAGTATATATCAATATGATTATACACATACTTATATGTAACTATATTATATATATAAATATACTGTATATTTATTTATTAAAGACGTTATATAGTTTGTATGTACTGTATATATGTATAGGATTATACATATGTACCTATTACATATATGTATATACTGTATTTGTACTAAATATATGCACATATACTCTATATATGGTACACACAATCTTAATCTTATGTTATAAATATAATGGAATTTATAGCATAGATTAAATATAATTAAATTAAATATACTATATTTCTAAGTATATTTACAATATATTTTCTATATATTCCGCTCACACTCTTGGGTTTGGACGGAGATTGTTGTTTCGGTGCGCTCCTGTACGTTTGGGTGATAAACAACGGCCAGTCCTGACTATAAAGGGACCAGACGTCCTCATCCAAAGAATTATATATATATGTGTCTATATATATTTTTTATGCATACAGCAACAATGCTTAGAGCGTATTAGGATGGTTAGTGTACATATTTTTAAGAACATCTTTGCTCGCTTGCGTTTGTTGAGAGTGACTTCAATTTTTATATTTTTTATTTCCGTCCACGGTCCTTTGCGTTGCCCACTGCCTTTGTTTTGAAACCTGTTTTTGATCTTTATTGACTGTCTGCTGCGTATTTTCACACCAGAATTCGGTCTGGTTGTATGACTCAGTTCTGAGTGCCCTTTGATGAGTTTGAGTTTTGAATCACACCACCGATATCTCCCTCCTCGTTCACTCCCACATATACAGTGCACCTCAGGTAAGAAACTGAAAAAAATATTTTTTACAGGGCT